TGTGTGTGTGTGTGTGTGTGTGTGTGTGTTGACGTGGTTTTGTGTGGAATGTTGAGGGTAATGCCAATCCCAGAGCATTGTGACTTTTCCAGGTTGAAGACAATGTGCAAATGCGTGGTTTGAAAATACTGATCACACACCTAGATGGTCTGATAAACATTCAGAACACTTCAGTGAACAAAACCTATGTGAGCAGAATTGCAAATGACTCAACTTCATGCCAGCAAATTGTTCTGAATGAGAACATTCCTGTCCTGGGCCTGGCACTGCTGAATTCTAGTAAGTCCTCACCCCCAAGTTGCAGTGACCCCTTCCCTTCCTCCCACTTGCTCAACAGAGCCCCATCCTGCAGCCCATGCCCCTCCCGTGATCTCTCTTTGCTCATTTCTCACAGATAGAAAAAAATTCTCCCTACTGGACCAATAGGCAATGATACCATGACAGACAGTGAAAAGACTAGAGTTGCCAACAACTTCATTTTACTTGGCTCTTCAGTCAATCCATGGCAGCAGCAGCCAAGGAATCAAAAGATATTAGGGGATTGATGGATGAAATAAAGGAATAGGTGAGGGACAATGAGGATTTGATGACATTAGGATAAAAGGAATTTTTTAAAAAAATCAAAGGATGCATTGCACCAGGGAAAATCTATCAAGAGCCTCTGCAAAATGGTCAAGAGCAAGGATGTCAGTTTGAAGACTAAGATGTGCCTGATCCATGTCATGGTATTGTCATTGCTTTCTAGGCCTCTGAATTGGACAATAAGGAAGATCAAAGCAGGATCAGGACCTTTGAATTGTGGTGTGGGCAGAGTATTGAATACACCACGCTCTGCCAAAAGAACAAGCACATTTGTCTTGGGACGAAGTACAACCAGGGTGTTGTTCAGAGGCAATGATGGTGAAAGATCTCAAATATGGGCCGAGTCCTTGGGAAAAGTAATCCTGCTGGGAAAGGCAGAGGGTCAGTGAAAGAATTCCTTCGGTGAGATGGAGTGACACATTGACTGTCACGCAGCAGAGACGGTGGGAATGCTGCAGGTTTAGAATACAGCACCTGAAATAAGAGGGGCCCTGGGGACTCGCGTGTGGGGACAGTCGGAGGGAGGGCGAGCTGGCACCAGGCAAATTCCAGGTGCTCAGAAGGACGGGGAAGCTGTGAAGGCTGCTGGCTCCACCACCTGCCCCGAGTGAACCTGACTCAGGCCCCGTGTGGACAGCGTGGAACTCAGGTTCTCAGGGCTCCCGGGGATACATTTTTCACTAGTGATCACCAGGCCTTTCTTCCAAACTCCTTTGCTTGGATTCACCAATTTTCCATTTACTCTGCGCCACCAGGGCCTCCATGA